TCTTGGGGATTCACTGAAAGTGTCGATGACAAAAACATGCGATCTCCGCAATGGAAGTTATGTTACGTCCTGCCTCTGTTTGTTGTGCCTCCATTCACCTGGACACTTCCCAGATTTGGGGTTGTCGTGAACGCTTCTTTGCGAAAAAAAATCTCCTGTTGTGCTGTTAATGTCTGAAAGGCAAACTCCGGAGAAAGTCCACACACAATTCTGCTGACATCCTCCAGGGTTCATGCCGGAAAACCAAGCATGGTCTGTGCCATGGAAATTTTAAAAAGCACCCATAATAATGCATATTACAGGGGACAGTTGAGGAAAAGCTGAACTCAAAGTGAATAAACTTTGTGTGTGATGACAAAGTAAGAGCCAACAATTCTTCATTTGAACTCTAGAGAAACAGACGCACAAAACTGTACAGGAAACATGTTCCATATTATTAAAATGAATTTTTCAAGAAGTAATTCAGTATAACAGTGGCTGCAGCAGACAGCTACTGTGCACCCACAGCAGAGTGTGTTAATTCTGTTCCTAGCATAACAGACCCTTCGATCTACAGATTTATGAGACGCCAGAGACCACCTCTTTCTGTCTGCAGGTGTGCATGTGAACGCAGCAGAAGCCATGCTGCTCAATAATTGCATAGATCCATGCTTCATACTTCAACATAAAAATGATTTGGTGTGAGTTTCAGTCAGCTCAGCACTTGGCTATTGTCTGTCATCAAATCATAACTCCAAACTCTCTTTTTTGTGTAGTGCTCTAGCCATTGGAACTCCACACGTTGTAAATTCGGAATCACCATGTAGTAAGTTCAGACTGAGGGTCCCATCAAGCTGAAAAGGACTTAAAAGCCTTGGGGGAATTCAGTTGGTGATGTTATGGTACACACCTAAGTGTTCATGGTCTGTCATTGACCAGACCTGAGTGAGCTGGGTTTGGTTTGGACATGGCAGAGTTTGATTAAAGACCTCAAACTGCTTTTTTTCTGAGCGCAAAGTCTCACCAACAATTTCATCATATCTGGAAATGTGTGTAACTGTCTTAATGACAATCCACCAATCGAGTATACTGAAAAACAAAAAAACAAAAAACCCTGATGAGCAATACGAGGATAAGGAGAGTGAAGGGGAACAGGACCGGTTAGAGGGGAAGTGAAAATGCATCGCAGACCAATGTCTAAATCAGAAGTGATGTTGTGGAGATGGACTCTAGTGCAGGTGTGACCTGACATACTCAGAGCTGAACAAGGCCAGTGTTGTTCCCAGTTCATTAAGTGTGTGATACATGTCCAGGTTAATGGGGACTCACGTGTGACACATTGATAAAATGGCCATCTGTCAAGCTTACTTTTAATCACTTGTAGGCAAACTTCCAAAAAACTGGATTCCACATTTCCCAAAATGGAACCAGTTTGAGGTCTCCAGTTTATAGCCTAATAGTCTCTCTCTCTCTCTCTCTCTCTCTCTCTCTCTCTCT